GGTATATTTTTGTGTAGTTACAAATTGGTGTGTTATTCAAGGTATCATATTCTGTAAGTATTAATAAATGAATTTTAATTATTTTTATAGTATTTCCTTTTAAAAAAATGGTTCTAGTGTAATGTACTAAGTTATTTATTATCTAATTTACTAATTAATCTAATTTGTCTTAGTAAGTTAAATTTATTGTTTCTCTAGTCTTTTGTTGTACCATCAGCATATATGGAAGATTGTCTTAATTCGTTATTTCAGTATTTCATTTCTTTAATTAAAGATAGTTTTAAATTACTTACCTTTACTAATAATCCTTCTAGATACTTTAAAAAATTAGTAATTTTTGAGTTTGTTTTAGTAGTATTGCATTTCTCTTGTTCTATCATTAAAAATGAATATTGAAAACTTACAACAATATCTATTTAATTGATTTCTTATTTATCCAACTAGCACTTTCTTATTTATGGTATTGTGTTAGTATTACTTCATTAGTATGAATTAGAATAGATGATTATTTTAAATTAAAGTAATAGTATCGTGTGTTGTGCTCAATTCGAAATTCAACAAATAACAATACCTATTCTTAAATCAATTATGAGTTTATTAGACATAATTGTTTAAAGGAAATCAGTACAAAAAACACAATAAAAAGAAACGAAATAATTTATTGGAAAGTGAGTTTTATATAATTTAATTATTATTACTAAAAAGTTTTTAATTTAATAAGACAAATGAAACAAATCTAATTGAAAAGGAGGAACTATTGAATTAACAAAAAGAAATAAAGAAAATTAGATAAGAAACAATAAAAATAAAATAGAATAATCTCTTAAGATATAGAGAATTTTTAAAAAGTACGTTTTTCATATATAATAGCATTAAAAAAAAGATTCAAGTATTTAAAAAGAAAGAAAAGGGAGAATAATTTCAATATAAAAAGGTAAATGTATTTATTTTTTTATTAAGTTTTAATCAAATAAAAATTAAGTTAGATGATTCATTGATAAACTCAAAAATTATAATTCTAATAAAAATGTACAAACCACACCTGGCACCTCTCATTTTCTTTATTTTTACATCTTCCTTTGCAATAGAAATTTCGTTTATGTTATTAGCAGCACCTAAAAAAAGACCAGAATTTCAAAGGAGTTTAAGAGATTTAAATGAAGTACTTAAATATAATTCTGATAATGTTCATTTAAGATTATTAATGTTAAAAGGATGCCAGTGTGACTTTCCTGAATTTGATAATGCATTAAAAAATTTTAATAACAATTATCCTCATTTACAAGTACAACAATTTGTTGTAACTGGGGATGAAAAACAAAGAGATTATAACCAAAATTTTGTAAATGAAATGTATCAAGCTATAGACTATCTTTACAAACGTCCTGATTGGGTTAAACCAGCAAAACTTAAGAAACACTATCTTATTAATGGATATTATTATGCAATGGCTAAATACTTATTTCAAGAAACAAAAACAGATTTGTTTATTTATCTGGAAGATGACCAAACATATGATCATGAATTAATTAAAAAATTAGTTGAATATTATAGTTCAACTAATTTTGATGACTATTGTTTTGAAAAAGTTACACCATATACTTATGCCAAAATACCTCCTCAACCAAATACATCTTATTTGACTCGTCAATGGGGGCATTATGGGTTAGTGAGAACAAGAAAACAAATGGCAGAATTTTTTAGGATGATGAAATTTCAACGATATTTTGAATCAGGAGATGCTCTTTCAGGAGATTTCTGTAAGGTTATAAAGAAGAATTACTTCGTAATGAATTTATCACGACACTTTGGTAAAGACAAAAGAATCCCAAAATAATTAATTTTTTGTTATTAAAATAGGGTTTGTTTAGTTTCTTAAACGAACAAGAAAATTTCATTTACTCTATGTCTTCTGACAGTGAAAATGAATATGATTTTACTCGTCACAAACGAGAAGAATTTAAGTTTAAAGGATTTAGACAATTACTTAAAGAAATGACAGTTTCTTCAATACATGATGTTTATAATTCAGAAAGACAACAAAAAAGCCTTGAAGACACTCACAGCTATACTTACGATGCTTTAATGAAATGGAAAGATGACGATCGTACAGAATCTTTTCATAATGCATTTTATTCATTGAGACAACGCGCAACTACTTTACCATTATTAATTATCAATCTTGATGATATTATGAATACGTTATTATTTCATCTTCAAATTAAAGACTCACTTGCTGTCCATTCATTATTAGATATTACAACTCAAATCATTCGTGATGTTCGTGATTTATTTATACCATATATTCCTAAAATTTTAGAATATTGTAAAAATAAATTAATTGGATGTACTGATACATCAGTTATTTATGATATATTTAATACAATTTCTTTCATGATTAAATATCTTCATTCTGTTATTATGGAACATTCAGAGATATTTATGCAACATTATATTTATTTCTTGTGTCATAAAAAGGATTACGTTAGGACTTTTGCAAGTGAATCTATGGTATATTTACTTCATAAAATGTCTCCTGAAGAGTTTATTCAATTTGTTGATAATATAATATCATTATATATTGTTTCTGATACAAGTAATTTAAGTGTTTCAGAAAAAAATTTCTTAATTCGAGGAATTGGTTCATTGTTATTTGAAAATATTAAAGGTGTTAAGAATCAATTAATTGTAAAAAATAAAATTTATATTGAATTATATTTTGATAAACTTATTAACGATACTTCTCAAACTAGTGAAACATGGTATCAAGCATTGTTAATTTGTAATAAATCAATTTCTATACAAAAAAGAGAAGGATTTGATGAATATTTTGTGTTATTAAAAAATGCACTTCCAGAACAACCAAAAAATCAAGAATGCTATGGTAAGATATTGGCTATTGTTATTCGTTGGGTTATGTATCGTTATGGTAAAACAATTGAGACATGCGAAAATGATGTAGAAGAAATTTTAAAATATACTTTTAAATGTACAGAGTCTACAGAACAACATTTAGAATCTATACCATTATTAGCAGAAAATTCAAGGTTTGCTGATGCATTATATCAATGTATTAGTTGTTATATTAAGTATTTAAGTAATGAAGAATTGAGAAGGTTAATGGCAGAAACTACAAAACAGATAGTCTATTTTACAATGATATTAAAAGAATTAATAAAAAGAAATGACATTGATTCTCTTCATAAATATTTCCCTTTAAGATTTATTCCAACTTTATGGACAGAAGACTGCGATCTTCTTACTCAACATTTTACACGATTTCCAGTATCTTTAATTAATGACTTAGCACAGTGCTTTAATGAAAAAGAATTAACTGATGATTATTGTAGTTTTATTGCTGCAACTGGTGTTGCCTCGTTAATAACAAATATAAAAGATAAAGCAGTTAATTATTTTGATAAATCACCAATTCCAGCCAGTGTTGTTTTAGCTCATTTTGATAATCCAATAGAAGATAAAATTATCACTTATTTGAAAAATCTTAAAACAAATCAATACCTTTTTGCTCTTGCTTATTATGTACAACAAAGAAAGATTGTAATTGAATTAAGTAATGAAACAAAACATAAATTAATGAAATTCTTTGAATCTAAATATTCACTCGAAAGAAGTGCTGCTGGATTTTTACTTGTTAATGGAGATGAAAGACGTTCAAGAGAAATTATGTCTATAATGAATGACATTGAAATTAATCTTTCTATGATTAGAGGAATGTTAGCGCGAATAGATTATATGAAGTCAAGAGCACTTCTTGGAAGTACTGAATTAAGAGAGATGATGGTTCATTTTTCTCTTGGAATGTTACAAGTAAAGTTATTGAGGTTATGGGATCCATCTAAAGATTTAATTAAAATTTGTGTACAAAAAGATCCACAATTAATAGAAATTGTAATTCAATTTATTGATGAATTTAGTAGTAGAAATGAACATATTGAAGAAGAAAGTGAAGAAGAAGATAATGAGAAAATACAACCAGATGGGCCACTTATATTCAGTCAATACCCATTAAGTTTAACTGATAGTCATACCATATCTAACTATTTATGGGAAATTATTCTTGAAAATGTTGATTTGATTAAAGAAGGAAAATACCATGAGTGGTTTATTAATCAATTTATTAAAAGATATGAACAAGTGGATGTTGCTGTATTAAACAAAAAAGAAGTTGAAACATTAACACATTATGTAAATGTATTATCACAAATTCATATTCCAGAAAATGTGGTTAATATTTTAATGAAATTATTAACTACTACTAAGACTGAATTACAAATAGAAATATTTAATAGTATTTGTTCTACTGATTCTTCAATTAATAAATATAAAAAAGAAGTATGTGAAGTAGTTAATAATCTTCATAAAACAAGTCAATTAAGAAATTCTATTCAAGGAATTTCAATAAAAGGTAAAGCATTAAGTTTATTATGTAGAATGTTATTTGTACATATAGTTCAAAAAGCAGTTGAAAAATCTGTCAAAAAGATATTAATTGAATTTATTTCACAAATTGAAGATGATGTAAGAATTGATTTCTTAAATGATACAATGGAAGCTTTCTTTGAGTTTGTACAAAATAAAAAGAGATTTAATAGAGGAGAATTAGACTATATTCTTCATACATTACATCTTATTAATTCTGCATATGGTTCATTTTATGGTTCAAATGATATAATTGGAAAATTACTTCTTCAAATATTACAAAAAGATCCTAGTGTTACATGGGATGTTCTTCGACTTATCACTGCTTTTGCACAATCAGCAGCTGATGGAAATATTGATCCAAATCAATTATTTGACTTTAAAGTTATTTATTCATTAGTTATTGATAAACACAACTTAAAATTATCAGAATTTGTTGGAGAAACATTAATGGTATTACCAAATGCAAGTGAATACATACACTCAATTCCTAAGTTACTTTCTTATTTATATCAATACAATAATATTACTTCAGCTAATGTTCATCGACTCCTAGAATTATATTTAATGACTCAAGATATAGAAATATCATGTGATTGTAGTAATTTAGTTAAAAGTGTCATGTCAACAGTATTACCTAATTTTGACCAAAATTATGTGGCATTTATGTTATTTATATTACCACACACTACATTAAATTATAGTGAACTTCTTTCAGCACATATCTCTTTGACAAACGAACTACTTCTTCCAGTAATTAAAGTATTATCTAACAAAGATGAATCTATTGCAATATTAGCACAGTCATTAATTAAAACTTCAAATAGTCTTATTGAACAACAGATTCTTCCAGAATTATTTAATTGTGAATTAGGAAATAAATTAATACCATTAATCAATTCTCCACTTCAATTTTTCAATGTTTTAAAAAATAATGATTTTCCATCAGGAAAATTATTGTTGTTTGTTGAAGAGTATGCTTGTCAAGTTTCATGTTCTAACAATTATCAAATAGGAGAAATATCAACAACATTTTTACTTGCCTTATATAAACAAACAAAACTACCAACTCTCATTCCTCGTTTAATTAATTTTATGTTAGAACATCCAACGTTCCCAATTGCTAATTTACTTACAAATTGTATTATAATGAATTCTGAAAATGAATTATATTCACTTGCTTCAAATGGATTCTTTAAAGCTCTTGTTAGAACTAACTATATTGCATTAGATAAGACTAAAGAAATTATCTCAACATTAAAAGAGAATGAATTAGATCTTGTTAGAAGACTTGTTGGTAATGCTATGGAATTACAAGAAGATAAGAAAACAAGAATTAAATTCAATGATATAATAGGATTGGTATATAGTCAGTTTGAATGGAACACATATGAGCACAACGTTATGTTAATTATTGACTTTTTAAAAGATTGTATAAAGAAAAGAACCGAATCACTTGGGTATTTAGAAGAAGCTCAAGCAAATGAAAGAAAAGAAGATATTAGAAAATATAATAAAATTATTGAAGAAATTGGAAGATTAACTCGTATTAGATTTATTGAGTTAAGATCTGCTATTTTCAATTTCCATTTTGATATTGGAGGAGAGTTTGATGTTAAAGAATTAAATAACTTTGCTATCATTGGAGATCTTCCATTTGAAATTACAGACCAAAATGAAGAGACACTACAAATGACACAACAACGAATTATTAGACAAAGTGTTATATTAAGAATAATTCCAGGATTAAGTGAATTGATGCAAGACAAACATATTGGAAATAAAAAAAGTGATATTGTTAGAATGTTAGTAGAGTTATTATGCAGATTACCTGAAGATATGAAACGACTTCAATTACCACAAATGATTCAATTAATTGTCAATGAGTTCCATGAAAAAACATTTGAACCAAGAGAAATTGCAAGAAAACAATTAGTTGAAATTTTATGGAAATTAGGTGATAGTTATTTTGCTGATGTTATTGATGAATTATATAATGGGCTTCACAAAGGATTTATGAAGCATGTACTTGGATACACTATTGAATTTTTATTGAGAAATATTTGTGATAAAGTTTATGAAGATACAACACACGAAACTAAAATGGAAGAAGAAGAGGAAGAAAAGCATAAAGAACATATTGATGAGGGTTTAGAAGAAGCACAAGAAAATCAAATGATAGAAGATTTTAGTCATTTTAATATAAGTAACTCTATAGAGACGTTATTAAAAATTGTATATGAAGATCTTACTGGACCAGTGGCTGAGCAACGAGAAATTGGAAAAATTAGAAATGAGGTAGTAGAAGCAAGAGAATGTAAGTCATTCCTTACATTTGGGCATATAGGAAAGTTAGTTGAAGAAGTTACAACATTAGACAGAATAATAGAATTTATTAAAGACGATTTAAGACAAACTAAGAAATTACAAGAAGCATTAGAAATGGATAGGTTATTAAGAGAATGTGAAAAAGGATTAAATGAAAATAAATTCTTTACAAAAGAACAATTATACCATTATGGAATTAGTGTTATTCAGAAATGTTATTATGTACCTCAATTAAAGGATATTCTTATTATACCAAAAATTAAATTAGCAGGACAAAAAGCGAAAGAACGAATTATGTTCAAAAAAGAAAAGAATGCAATAGAAATGATGGATAATGGAGTTATTGATAAACAACAACATTATCATATTCTAGTTGAATTTGGATTAAAACTTGTTGTAGATAGTATAGAAAGTATTTCTGGAAATGATAATTTATTGAGTGAAACAGAAGAATTAGCAAAGAAGTGTTGTTTAATGAAAAATGAAAGAAGTATTATGTTAGCAGTCAAAATATTAAGAACTGTATTAAAAAAGAGAAACCGAATGGAAGAAGGATATACTATTGGATGCAAAATAATTCAATCATTACAAAAGACAGATACAGAATTATATAGTCAAGCATTATTATTTATGACTGATATTATTAAACGATGTGATGAAAAATTTAATCCAAAAGATTTTGAAACAGTACTAAATATTATTGTGACTAATATTCAAGACAGTAATAAATCCACAGCAAATTTCTTGTTTTTAAATTCAGTTATGAAAAAAGGTATTATTCATCCAACTTTATATGATGTAATGTTAGATTATGGTAAACTTATGATCCAATCTTCTGAGGTAAAAACAAGAAAGGAATCACAAGAATTACTTATTACATTTTTAACTAAATATCCATTATCTAAAAGCCAATATAAAATGTATGTAGAGTTCTTTATTAAAAATATTGATTTCAAAGAACCAGAATCAAGATGTGCTATTGCAGATTTATTATATGTTGTTATTGATAGAATGAATGCAAAAGAAGCAAATGAGGGAATTAACTATATTTATATTCCAATAATTTTAAGAATATCAATTGAAGATTATAAGAAAGCACAAACAAAACAAATTAATGTATTAAAGTCATTTATTACAAAAATTTCTAAAGAGCAAATAAATAAAATTATTAGTATGAACAATTCATGGATGAAAAACCAAAAAGGAAGTATTAGAAAAGTAGGGTGGATAGGAAATTGTATTTGTGTTAATAGATTAAAGAAGACAAAAGATGAATATATTAATAAAATTAAAGAATTATATTCTAAAGAACAAGATAATGTTAGAGAAGAAATGGTAAGATTCTGCATGGATATTGAATGTTGTGACCAACAAATATTTGAAGAAATAATGAACACGCCATCAGTCAATGGAGTCGCAGAATATTTATTAATAATGATAAATAAAATTCAAAATTATCAAAAAGTTATTGAAATTGCAGTACACATGGTTATCAATAATACTAATGTTATTGAATGGACTAAAATAACTAAAAATGTTATTGAACAGCACAATGAAATGGTTGTAAAATTAATAAATATATTAGGTAATCAAGCAAATGAAAGTAGTGTAAAGATGGTAGCTTCATTGATAAGTATTATTGAAAAAGATGAAAATTATATAAGTCTTATTGTGCAATACTTATTGCCTGTGGCTAGTTCAAAAGATAAACCAGTTGCATTATTGGCTCAAGAAGTATTAAATATAGTAAAGACATTTATTGATCCAGAGAAATATCTTTCATTGATTCAAAAAGATTAAAATTGATTGATTTTTTTTAAAAGTTGTGTTGATTATGAATGTTTCATAATACAAAAAACCCTAAAAATTCAAAAAAGAATTTCTTAAAAAGAAAGAACTAATAAAATAAGTTTTTAAATATTTATATTTAATGGATTCTCTTGATGAATCAAAATATACTTCTATTAAAGAAGGACAAGCAACTGTATTGTTTCCTAAAGATGAAGCGGGTGCATTTTATAACCCTGTACAAGAATTAAATAGAGATCTTTCAATTAGTATTATTTCTAAATATTTAAAGAATAAAGAAAATGAATTAAAACAAAAAAATAAACAATACCATCCTTTAATTGTTGAAGCACTCGCTGCTTCAGGATTACGTTCAGTTCGTTATGCTAAAGAATTACCACAAGATATTGATTTTAAGGTTATTGCAAATGACATCTCTAAAAGTGCAGTTGAATCTATTGAGCGTAATGCTAAATATAATAATACTACAAAAATTCAACCTTCAGAAAGTGATGCTGTCTTATTACTATATCAACTTTCACAACAAAAAGAAAAACCAGATGTCATTGACCTTGATCCATATGGTGCTCCAACAGTATTTTTAGACGCTGCTTTTGCTGCAATTAAAGATGATGGATTAATGGCTGTTACTTGTACTGATATGGCTTGTTTGGCTGGAACACATTCACCTGCATGTTTTGCTAAATACGGTGGAATGCCATGGCACTCATCAAGTGCACATGAATTTGGATTAAGACTTGCACTTCATTCATTAGCAGAAAATGCTGCACGACATAAGAAATACATTGTTCCAATAGTTTGTTTTCATATTGACTTTTATGTAAGAATGTTTGTTTTAGTTAAATCATCAGTTGCTTTATCAGGTGAACTACCACTCCATGAAGGTCTTGTTTTTGTTTGTCCAACATGTGAGAGTTTTTGTTGTAATCGTCTAGCAAGTAAAAAGGATGGAAAGTTAAAAGCATCTCCATTAGAAATAGAATCCAATAGATGTATTTACTGTAAATCACCAGTTCATATTACAGGGCCAGTGTGGTTAGATAATTATGTTGATTATCAGTTTATTAAAGAATTACTTAAAACTTATCAACAAAATGAACAACTTCATATTAATTCAAGAAGAAGGATTCTAGCATTATTAACACTATTAAATGAAGAACTACCAGATACCCCTCTTTTCTATGCATTAGATAGGGCTGCTCATTTCTTTAAAATTACAGTTCCACCACGATCTATCTTTGTTCAAGCACTTGAATCAAAAGGATTTAAAACATCGTTATCACATACATATCCAAACAGTATTAAAACAAATGCGAGTGTTGATTTAATTTGGGATTTATTTAGAGAAGCAAATACTATTACACCATCTAAAATATCACAAGAAACACCAGCATATTTAATACTTAAAGAAAAACAAAAAGTTATTTTTGAATTAACAAAATTCAAAAAATTAAAAGAAAAGAAACCAATTCCAGTCTTTGTTGAGAAACCTGGCAAAAATTGGGGACCAGCATGCAAAAAAAGAAAAGTATTAACTGACAAGATCAATGCACTTGGAGATGAAAAGAAAAATGAAGAATTAGATCTTTGATATTTCTTAATGAAATTATAATTAAATGAATTATATTATTAAATAAAAAATGAAAGTTTCAAAAAAAAAAATAGTTCAATATATTTATCTTAAATTATTTAAAGAAGAGCAACTTTAAGAACAAGAATTGCTCCTAAAAATAACATTAATAAAATTAGTACAATAACTTTGACTCGAGTAGCTTTTTGATATGTCTCTGCTTGTTTAATTTCTTCAACAGCTTTTGATACTTGATGTTCTGTATGTTCAATATTATAATCAATAAGATCAATAATTGTTCCTTGTTCATGAATTAACATATTTAATTGTTGTGTCATCTCTGCTAATTCTTGAACAGTTTTAGTTATTTTTTTTTTATTTCCTCAACTCGTTGATCTACTATTTCTTCTGACTCACTTAACATATTTAATTGTTTTTCATCAAATCCAAATGAATACACACCTTCTTCTCCTTCAGTAGTACTTTTATTTTGATTTTTAAATTGTTCAGCAACTTTGCTTACTTCTTCTGCTAAATTTGTTTGAACATTTTGAATTAATGTTGGACTTTCTTCTTCTTTAAATCTATTAAATTTAGTTACTTCATTTTGTGATTGTTTTAAGTTCTATATTATTATTATTTCTGTATTCCTTTCTTTTTTAAATGACAAATATATTTTTCATTAACAAACCAATGATTTCATTTGTCTTCATATCAACTCCTTTACTATATTCTCATAATCATCCAAATCAATAGATAAATACTTCTTCTGTAATCTTGGTAAGTCATCAAATATAATAATAAGTATTTAAACTACTACTTTAAAATATTTCATTAAATAAGTCAAATATCAAACTTTTATAAACAATGTTTTTATTTTGTTTTTAAATTTCATCAGCAGTTTGTGCTAATATGAAAGGTTCAGAAATTGTAACTGTTCAGATAGAATTTTCAACAACACTTCCACCTTAGAATTTACTTCTTTAGCATAAAATTCTTTGGTCCAATCTTTAGTAAATCGAATGACATTCATTTGATTTGTTTGTAGTTTAATTTTTTCATAAGATATTTTTTATTAATACAAATAACTTAACAAAAATGTTGTCCTCAAAAATAAAAGTAGTAATAGTAAAAATCCATTCAATTAGATACACAAAAAAAATTCCTTATCTTTTTTTACAACAAACTAAATTCTATAACATTCAACAAGGCTTTGTTCAGGAGAAAGAATACATCCTTTTGAAGACATTATTGATAATATGTGTTGATTCATTTTTTTTCCTTCTTGTAAGATAAGACTTGATCCATAGACTTTTGAACCTATTTGTGCGTTTTGGATTCGTTTCATTTGTGAGCATACAACACTTGGTTTTCCTTTTTTAAATTCAAAACAAGCCCAACAATAGTCTGAAGCAATTTTAATAAGACAGTCATTTGTTTTTGCATCAGCATTTCGTCTTTTCTTTTTTTTATCTTCTGATGAGTTGTCAGGAATAACTTCTTCAAAATAACTTTTACCATCACGAGTAATTGATTCAACTACAAACAGTTGTGATGTAGTCTTTCCTTTTTTATATAATTTCTTTAAAAAAATTGTAAAACCGTTATCAACTAAAATACGGAATAAAAATGACTGTTGTGCAGAATCTCTTTCCGTTGATGCTCTTTTAGCCAATAACAAATCTTTTTGTTTTTCACTTTGAGTAAGTGCAACTTCATAAACACCATTTCCTAAATTGATTATCGGTTTTCTTTCAAAAGGACTAATGTGTTTCATTATCTCTTTTGTTATGAATGATTTATTAAGTTTTACAAAATCTTTAAATGTAATTTCAAGAGTTGTTGATACATTTGCTTCTCTTCAAGATAAAATATTAAAAATACTATTAAAAATATAATAAAATTCTATTTTTTTTTTTTTATTATTCAAAAGTTACAATTACAAATTTAAATTTTATAATTAAAATTTAATGAAGTTTTATATGTGAAAAGAGGTATATCATTTCTTTTTTCATTGAGGTTTAAAAATTATAAGACTCAACAAAGAATAAAAAGTTATTCTAAAAATATAAAAACAAAAATTTATTTGATTGTTTCATATTTTGATTTTCGTGATGATTAGTTAAAATTATCTTCTATTTTATTCTTAACTTCTGGTTGTTGAATAAAAGTTATAAAAACTATACAAAAACAATTTAATAAGAAAAACAATATTTCTTTGTCCCTTATTATGAAGTTTTTTTTTTCTAAAAGGAACTAAATAATACTATACCTCTAAATTATTTAAAACCAACATACTTTTATTCGTGAATCCTTTCTTCCAAAATAACAAGTAAACCTTTAATAATTCTTATTGAAGATAACAACTTTTTTTCATATAGGGTTTGTTATTATAACTAACTATTTTAATAATTCAATGAATATTTTTTAATTTTACTTAATGGTGTTGAACTTTTGTTTACTTAAATGATTTATTATCTCTTTTATCTGACCATTACCGTTAATAAAATGGTGCACATTTTTCTTATTTTTTCTTAGGCTTTTATAAAAAAAATGAGGCTAGGTGTTGTGTGTCGGTACTTACCTTTATGAGCTTATTCTTTTATTGATACAATTTAAAGAATCTTTCTTTGTTTTATTTAGTTAATTTTTAAATTTATCTCTCATTCAGAGAATGGTTAATATGAACATAAACCATTATTATAAAAATTCATATCTAAGTTTCATATCTTTTTCCAAGACATTAACATTAAATATTATTTTTACTGATTTTGATTAAAATAGCAAAAAATAAAGTTTTGTTGAATCTAATATAATAAATTATTATTTTTTATAAAACAATTTCTTCATCCTTTAATATTAAGTTACTTTCACAAACTTCTTCTTCATTTATTTTTTGAATATGGTCATGATTCTCTTGTAGGTCAATTTCTTGTTCTTTGGTTTTTTGGTTTAATTCATCCTCTTTAGTTGGTATTATTTTTGGTTGAGGAATTGAAGGTAATGGTCTATTATTAACAGGAATAGGAGGTAGTGGTTTTTCCTTTTTCTGAAATACCCGTTGTTGACCACTAGAATCAACAACAATAACTTGGTTTTCTGAAGGTTCTTTAGTAAGGTTTTTGAAATAATTGATGATATTAGTTATTCCTTCTTTAATTTGATTTTGAAGTTCAGAGTCATCTTGTTCTTGTTTTTTATATCGGTAATATCCTTCTACAGTTTTCACTTTAATAACCCAATCTTTATATTTGACTCCTCCTATTTGTTTTGCAATAGTTCTTCCTTCATCTTCTTCAAACTTAACTAATAAATCTTGACATCCATCTTTTTTAATCATTCCATCAATCTCATATGATTCTATTAAAGTTACTTTACCACAATTATCAAGAATATCACTAACCTCTTTTATTGTGATGTCTAAAGGAACTTCAATGAGAATAAGACATTTATCTTCTTCCATAACTGAAACTTTTAGAGTTCATTAAGGTAACTTTTTAATTAATTTTATGATTAACAAAGGAAATAAAGATGACAAAATTCAATCTATTCAAAAACGAAAATTATTAAATGTAAGAAAAAATAGTCATTATACAACTCAGTACTCTCCATTTAATTATAATAGACAAAGGTCATCTTAAACCCACCCATTTCTATTACTGAGTTGTTCTTTAACGGAACTGTATTTTGTAATATCAATCCAGTATCAACAGCACTTCCATTTCTTCCTTCGTTTGTAAATAAGTATTGGTCAGTTTCTTTGTCGTATGTAATAATTGCATGCCTATGAGAAATAGACTTAGCATCTGTATATTTATTTAGATAAATGAAACTACCATCATGTGTCCCTTCTTTTCCTCTCCCAAAAACAACAGGGAATTGGGTTTTTGTATCAAATTCAAATACAACAGTACTATTTCGTTCTCCACAAAGTAATCTTGCTTTAGTATGTTTTCTTTTCTTAGTTCTTTTTTCTTCGTATTCGTCTTCTTCTGAGACTTTTCTTCTCACTTTTTTTCCTCTGTTAGTTTTTGTTGGTTTTGGTTCTTTCTTTTCAATAGGATGTTGTTTAACTTCTTTAATTGCTTCTTTAAAAGAAACATTAATTGGATTAACTAAAGATAAGAGATAAGAATCTTAATGTTGTTTTTTCTTCATTTCATTACTTTTCTATCACGCAAAAAACATTATTAGGGTTTTTCTTTAAATTAATTTAGAAAAGTAGATTATATGAAGATTGATTGAGAGATTAATTAATGGTTTTAAAGTGACCACCATCAATTAAAAAATGGAAATAACAAACTTTTAGTTCTAGTAGAAGGGTTTTCTTTACATTTATTAATAAGTTCAGCTTTTAACATCTGTAACAATGAATCAATGAAATAAAATAAATGGTTTAAAGAAATAAATAATAAAAGATACAAAATTGATAGAAATATAAATAAAAAACAAAAATATCAAATACAAACTGTTGAAAAATTGCTTTGTGGAATTCGTTCTTTTAAATGGTTTGATTCTATATGAAACTATTTTGTTATTCTTCTTTTATTTAAACCATTTAAATGCATTTTTAATAAAAACAAACTTTATTCATTTCTAGCCAAATTGAATATTCTACTAAAATTGGATTAAATCCATCTTGTATTTGATCACGAATTTCTTCTACCTTTTCTTTATCCATTTCTTTATTCTATTAAAATTTAGTTCATTTCCTATTCAAAGTTCCTTTTTTTTGAAAAATTTTTTAGCTTTTTCTCTCATACTCTCTTCTTTCTTTAAGATTAAACTGTATTAACCGTATAGAGTTGTTAAATATTTTCTTTATAAATACTCATATTTTTTTATACATTAAAAAGTTTAACTTTTGAAATGCTCTAATTTTTAAGTTTTTTGAGTTCATATTTAGAATTATGATGTATTGAAAATTTTTCATTCAATAAATTTATTAATACTATTAGTTTTATTAATTTTTACATTACGATATAAAATAAATTCAAAAAATTATTTAATTGTATTATTAATAATTATTCATTGCCTAATTTTCTGGATTAATTATCTTGTTATTGAGTTAGTTCTGTTATTGAAATTTCACAACAAGGTTTTAACTCTGATGGATCAACCCATTCTATTGGTTCCATTGTACAATACGAATACCCACTTGGTGGGTATTCAAAAATTAGTGGATCAAAATACTTAGCATATCTAGCATTTATAAGTTGTGGAGTTTTAATAAAAATTGATGCATTTTCAATAGAATCAAAATCAATAAACACAACTCCACACCGTTGAGTTTGTGCAGAACAAAATGAAGGTTGATACATTAAAAATCTTAGAGCGTGATAAGGTTTTAACCAATATTGAATATCAACAACTGAAACAAATGAAGGAATCCCAGCACACGCAACAACATTTGATTCTTTTTGTTTAATAATTTGAGTAGAGAATATTGAATTTGGAAATAATTCAATTGAAGATAACAAAGATAATTCTTGTGGAAGTAATTCTTTTAAATGACAAAATTCTAAGGTAGTTGTTTTAAGATTTAAATATGATGGAATTTTCGTGACAACTTTATTTATTTTAATCCATTTAATAAAATGAGCAACAAATGATATATAATAAAATAAAGAACATGTTGGAAAAGTGTGCTGAATCAATTTTTGTAACACATATACATAACGTGAAAGTATTTCATTTTTCCTTAACTCTTCAGTAAGATTTGATAATAGTTGTAATGAAGAAATACAAGATGAACTTTCAACAACACTTAATTTAACTAAAGACGATGATGTAGATATAAATTGAAAATTATCAAACGTCTCAATACAACACGAAGAAAAGTAATCACTCTGCTCTAACCCTTTTTGAATTTGATGTAAAAAAAGTTCATTTGAATGTTCTGAAGTAATTGAAACTATAATAAAATCATTTGCATTAATAAATGGAAGTAATGACATAATTTCAATTGACTGAATAGGTAATTCTTTTAAGGCTGATTTAAATGCTCCTAACAAACCATGTGAAGTAATTTCTTTTTTTTTACAATTTAAATATATTTTTTCAAACTCTTGTTCATCGATATCAATAACAGACAAATATTGTGAAAAACTAGAATGAAACTCTATAATATGAAGAGGAAGTTGAGTTGTTTTGACTGTGAAACAACATGGAAAAAGATGGCTATTCATTAAATGTGTTATTTAAATAACAAAAAAAATATTAGATTATCTTTATTTTTTAGTTCATGTCGCTAAAGTTGAAATATATTCAAATTCTCTTAAAAGGAAATATTAAATCTCATCAAGAACGACTTAAACCATTCTTTCAAACACTCTTAACTTGTAAAGTAGAAGAAGGTATTCAGTCTATTTTCATTATTGAAACCCTGGTTGGTCTTCAGGTTTTTTATAATGGAATTCAACAAGATCATCCAATGTACCAAGAACTAACTGAAACGCTCAGCAAATATATTCAAGCTCTTCCTTCTATTACTATTAATGAAAAACATACTTCATATCTTAAAGAAGTCCTTAACCATCCAAAAGGATCATCGATTCATGAAATTGTATTTAAGTCTCTACTTGATATCTTAAATAAAAAGGAACCAAATGAGGTTAGAATTATGATTAATGTAATGAACATTCAAAAATTTATTGCTTTTAGTGATGAGGAAAAAAAACAACTCATAGAATCAATGGAGCAAAACCACTCAACTGAACAGATAGTTCGACCAATTATCGCATTATTAAATAAACAATATACTATTGATAAATTTACTTTACCAAAGAAGTGTTCTATTATAGAACAATTAGAATATCATATTGCATTGGCACAACAAGATCCAAATACAATTAGAGATTTAGAAAGTACATTATCAGAAATATTATTATTGAATTATCTTGGATTAACTAATTACTACGACAGAATTTGTCTTGCTCTTAAATTAGTTTCAACATATGACCCAAGGTGTTTGGATGATTTCAGAAAGCATTGTATTTTGAACAATATTCCAAGTGATAAGTTGAAAAGCATTATTAAAATATTTTCACCTATTATTACTGAAGGATTACTTCCTCGTTTCCTTGAAACAACTAGATCACAAATTTCAATATTTCACTCATCATCAGAGTGTTCAACTGTTTGTTTATTTAAAAGGAAAAAGAAAACAAAAAAATTAATGTAATAGACTCACTTTACTAATCTTATTCAATTTACTGCATATTTCTGTATTGAAAAAGATAATGAAAATACAACACAAAATTTATTAAATTATCTTATAAATCTTATTGATTATCCACCTTCAGATAAAGACATTTGTATTATTAACACTCTTCCATCATATTTATCTCTTAATGATTATAACCAATATAAATTAGTTATTGATCATATTATGAATATTTTTAAAAGAGCTGATAGAGATGCTGTATCACAAAAACAAAATGATACTAATAATATTCTTAATAGTATTTATGAAGCATTAACTTCTATGGCTAAAAGTATAACAAATGAAGAACTAAGATTTGACTTATTAAAACAAATAGTTGGAAGATTTATTCAATTTGGCAATACAATAAAAACTGATCAAGACATAAGTAAAAGAAAAGAAACTGAATTAATGGGAAAATTATTAAAGCCAATTAGTTTATTAATCAGTGGAATGGAAAATAGTATAAATAAAAATAATGAAAACAAATTGTTTAGAACATTTTGGTTCTATTGTGTTGTTCTAAAGTTTGTTATAAAAGAAGAGTACAATGAAATTTATTATAATGACATTAAAAATATCGCAAGTAATCTTCCACCTTTAATTATGAAAAGAAGTCATATATTAGCTGAGATTGATAATGAAACAAATTCTACACTAACTAGATTTTATTCTACTGAACAACAAAAGATGTTTATTGATAGTTTAACAAAGAGAAATGATTTTATTAGTTATAATCGTGGGATACCATTAAACAGAATTTTAATGTTCATTTCTATATTTTATTTAGAATGTTTTAGATGTTCTCAACTTCGATTTGAATATATTACTGATTATTTAGATGATTCAGTTGTAGAAGATCCTTTATGTGCATTTATTACTCCTGTTTATTCTTCATTATTTAAATCAGTATTTTTAGTAGCTAAAACTGAAGCATCTAAATTAGAATTATCATTGACAGAACGGAGTAAAGCAATGACCAATTTAATGAGTGTTTTTGTAATACGATTAACAACAACAAATCAAACTTTATTTTCTTTTGTAAATTCATCTTTAAATGATTTGATTGATTCAAATAAATCAATTGTCTATAACAAGAGAATTCTCTTCTTATTACTTCATATTGTTGAAACTATTTCAAAAATGAATACAAGTAATCCTCTTGATGTTAAGAATGTTAGAATTGCACAAACAAATTTCTTTGTTGAAACACCCGAAGATTCTAATACTTACTCTACTGTAATAAAAAATGTAAGTGATTTTACAACTAATTATATTAAATTAGGATTTAAATTACAACCTAAATACATGAGTCATTTAATTCAATCGTTTATTCTTCAATTACCAACTAATTCAAGTCATACCCATGCAGGAGTCAAATTAGCTTTAAACGTTGGAAGAGAATTTATTGATATGTCTGATTTAACATTCAATATCTTTCAAAAAGCAAGTTGTACTGGAATGGTTATTGGGTCAACAGAAGTTGGTAATATTAGAAGGTCTTTACTTCAACAATTAAAGACATTTGATTCTTCTAATATGAAAAATGATATTACTAAAGAGGCAGTTTCTTTTATAGTTGTAAATAATTTGAGTATTTCAGAATCTAGTGATTTACTTCAAGAAATTGTTTACTCTCCAATGAGAGTATTTACAAAAGAAGCTATGGAATTAGCGGTACCAAATTGGGAATGGTTAATTTGTGTGAGCTCTAAGGTTATGGGTAATTATCTTTTGAAGTTAATTGGTGTTGCATGGAAAGAAACAATTAAAAAAAACCTTGGAATATTTAATAGTAAATACGTAACTTCTAATCCATTATCTAGTTCAGTAGGAAATAGAGAACAATCTACTCATGCAAGCTCTGTTGTTCCACACAGAGAAATCATTAAATTTTTTTCAAATATTCTTCCTATTATTGAAGCTTATAGGGACACTACTCGTCTTGAAATTATTAGAGACATTATTTCATCCTCTCTTAAAGCTCAAATGACTCCTGAACCAAGTTCAGTTGGAACTCGTTTTATGTTGTTGCTTCTTGGACTAAAAATTGTTTCATTAAGTCAAAAAGAAGGTATTCATTATACTTCAATGGTTGAGAGTATTGAAATTGTTGGATTAAATTGGTTTGAAAATCAACCAGAATGGTTTGAGTGTAGTAGGACTCAAGCAGAACATGACATCAATATTCTTGTTGAGTTTAACCAAACATTATTAAATGTTCTTCAAAATATTAAAGAAAAGAAGTTTGGATTAGATGACGAAGTTATTAACAATCTTAAGCAAAGGGCAATGCTTTTACTTCCATTAGTTGGGAACGAGATTGAACGAATTTCTGTATGGAATAATCCATTGAATTTGATAACAAAACAATTCCAGAATCAACGACTCTTTTTAATTGAAAATTTGCCCAAAGACTATAGAAGAAGAACAAAGGATTATATCCTTCTGGCATGGTATTACTCTCCTGCACTAGCTGTTGGGTATTATAACAGATTCCCAACAATTCAGTCATATAAACTTTTAACTGAAAAAATTCTTAGTGAACCAAATAAATTAATTAACAATGCTTTGGCTCATATTTTCATTGCAACACCAGAACATGTAGAATCTAATATCCCTCAATTAAATCAACTATTGTATTGGGAGGCTACTGATCCTCCACACGCACTCAACTTACTTAAAAAATCATATCATTCGAATCCATTTACAACTTTATATGCGTTAAGAGTATTAGATACTTTTGATGAACAAACTGTGTTATATTATGTACCACAACTTGTTCAATCGTTAAGATATGATTCAATGGGACTTGTAGAAGCTTTTATTATTAGAATGGGAAAAAAATATCAGTTAGTTGCTCATCAGTTGATATGGAATTGTGATACTTACTCGACTGAGTCAACAACAATGACAGTTAAACAAGACCCAGCTTTTGTATCAAAATTAAAAGCAATAAGTAAGAAAATTGTTGAAAATTATGATGAGAAAGAAATGGAACTATTTAAAGCAGAAAGAGGTTTCTTTGAAAACTTTACACGTATTTCTGGAGAGCTTATTCCTATTGAACGGGACCAAAGAACCCAAGAACTAAAAGATAAATTAGGAAAGTTAAAGGTTGAAAGAAACGATTTATATGTTCCAACTAATCCAAATGCAATGGTAGTTGATGTATCAAATAAAGGTTGTGCATGTTTAAGAAGTGCAGCTAAAGTTCCAATTCTTGTTAATATGACTGTAAAGGATAGATTTACTGGAGAAGTTTCACCACTACCTGTTATTTTTAAAGCTGGAGATGATATAAGATCAGACATGCTTGCAGTTCAAATGATTGAATTATTTGATAGAATTAATAAACATGCTGGATTAGATATTTATTTATGCCCATATCATATTATTGCTACAGGCCCTGATTGTGGTATTATTGAGGTTGTAAGAAATTCTATGTCAAGAGATCAAATGGGAGAAAAATATGATGGTAATATGTATAATTACTTCTTAACTAAATATGGGGGAAGAAAAACTGAAGAGTTCTTTGCTGCTCGAGCTAATTTTATTCGATCAATGTCTGCTTATGCTATTGTATCTTACATTCTTCAAATTAAAGACCGGCATAATGGAAATATTTTGATTGATGAAGATGGACATTTGATTCATATTGATTTTGGATTTATGTTTGATAGATCACCAGGAGGAGATATGGGAATTGAGAAATCACCATTTAAATTAACTGATGAAATGATTTCCATCATGGGAGGTTCTCCATCAGCAGAACAATTCATTTGGTTCATGGAGCAAGGGGTGAAATCTTTCCTTGCAATTAGACAATATTATCCTTCTATTATCACTTTGATTGAATTAATGCTTGATACTCAAATGAATGTGTTTAGACCTAATTCAATGATTAACTTAACCCGAAGATTTAATCCTGAAGGTAATTGTACTCAAGCAGCTCAATTTATGGCAGGAGTTATGAAAGAAGCTTTTTCATTGAAAGGAACCTTTTTCACTTACTTCTATGATAAGTTCCAAGCTCTTGATAATGGTATTTCTATGTAAGATTCACTAGTTTACCTTTAATTAAATCAGTTATTTGGTTAGGTTATATAGTTATAAATAAAGATAATCATTTTTAAGGATAAAAACATGAAGTTTATCAAAAACAGTTTAACAATAAAAAGTGTAAAAAAAGATTTGTTGTTGATGAAGAGTTCAAAATAATATTTCATAAATTTTAAAATAGCAAAAGGTCAAAATAGAGAATCTTATTTTAGAATGAAATTATTGATGTTAAAAAATTCTATTTTATTCTGTCTTGATAATATGAAATGTTTGGTTTCTGAATTGTGAGATTCCTTAATTGATATTTCGTTGTATGAGCTTGCACAATGACACATGGATGGGTTCTTGTAAAGAACAACACTTATTTCACTTTACACCTGTATTAAGCAAAGAACGTTGTAGAACTGATACCCCTCAAAAAGATGTACAACCCCTTCTTTTATTTGGGGATTTAGAAGATGAACAACAATCGCAACAAAAAGAAGAAGTAAGACATAATGAAGCTGATGCAGACAAAGAGGTTTTTGATATTTTGAACCAACCTTCACATAGTACTTTTGTATTTAGGAAAAGTCCAATTATTCGAGATGATGTTAATGATATTGAATTAGATTTACCAAGAAATAGATGTGATAACTCACTTGATCCATTTTTTGTTTAAACATATTAACATTGATAATAATTGTAATTGATTCTTTAAATAAAAAAAAACATATTTCAATAAATTAAATTTTGATTTTTTCAACTTCTCAATGTTATACTTCTCTTGAAATAATTAAGAAATATAAATATCATATACAAATCTCTTCGAAATAAAAGATTGAATAATAATTTAATACTTTCATCAAATTGTAAATTTGGTTATTTTTATATGATATAATGATTATTGATATTTGTTAACATTAAGTCCATACAAATAGAATTAAAAAAAAAAACTAATTATTTGTTAATTTTTTTGATAAAACAAATTAATTTCTATCCTCGTTTTTGTTATTATTATCTTTAAGCTTCATAAATAAATGATATAAATACAATAATTAGAATTAACTTTTTAAATTAAATAATTATTAATTGATACTTTATCAAATTTAACTAAATGAATTGAAAAATGGTCATTTTTTTCTTAAATAGTTATAATATTTTTGAAATAAGAGTTATTTCTTTAATGGTTATTGAATAAAATTCAAAATATGTATCTTTTTAGCATTAGAAATCACCAAAACAATAACCATAATGGTCTTTTTTTTTAAAGTAAACTAATCAAACAAAGAATATTAGAATAGTTATGATTGAATGGTAATACCAGAAAGAAGAAATATTATCTATTTAATAATTAAGTATAAAATGAGGTAAATTCTTTTAAAACTGAATATGTAATAAATATTAAAAAGACTATGAAATTTTATAGTATAATATTTTATACTTATTACTGAATAAATTATCAAAAATAAAAATAGATTATTTGTAAATTTGTTGCATAAACAACATTCTATTGAATAAAAATTATCATTAATACAATGAATAATATAAAGAAAGGAGTTTTATAGAATCAAGAAAATAAAGAAAAGAATGGGGGTATAGAATTTGATCAAACACATTAGCCATAACTCAATAACAATTAAATATAATAAAAATATTTTTATAAATATAGACTTAAAATAACATTGAGATTTTTGAAATACTGCATTAATGTGATAGTTTTTTGTAAAAATTCAAGAAATTTCAAAACTCCAACCAAAAATTCTTTTACTATATTGCGTTATATAAAACAAAAATTAAAATGTTTTTATTGGGAATCATTTTTGTTTACTTAGAAATCATTGATAAAACTTCATATCAACAAGAAACGGAAAATACAGAACTTTAAATAACAAAACATACCAAAACAGAATGGGGGTTGTAGGAGGGTGGTTTACTGCTTACAATGGATTAATATTAGTTATACATTACGTTTTAAGTTCATTTAGAAAAAATAAAAAGTCATTATTTGTTGGTATTTTCACTGTATTTGTTAGTGTTTGCTTCTTATATATTTTACAAAATGTTGTTGAGTTAGTACCTGCAGTGTTTATGAGAATATCAGAAATACAAGTTGGAGAAGGGGATATTTTACTTCAACCAAGAGAATCAATGTTTCTTAACTACACTCAAATATCAGAAAAACTTGATAAAAATTGTAAAACATGTAAGAATAACTACCCACGTTGGTTAATGTGGGGGTCTGTTGTGAATGGGAATCAAACTGTTGATGGAGTATTAAATGTTTACGACAGTGAGGTTGAGGAGAAAAATAATATTGGAAGAGGATGGAAATATGACCCTTTAGAAAAAGACCAAATTGTGATTAGTGGTGGTGCTGCTAGAAAAGTTGATATTCAAATTGGGCAACAAGTAGATATGGTAGTTAACCTTCCTGAAATAGTAAGATATCTTGGATTAAATATGGAAGATATACTCCCAGATTTAATTGGAGTTGGTCAAAATATTAACATTTCAATTCCATTGAAATTTGTTGATCCAAATAATACCCAAAATGGAAAATATATAATTACTCAACTCTATGAAATAGAAAAAATTTTAAATAAAACTGGAGAAAATGTATTCACGTCATTGTATATAAATGGTATTAACATGTATGTCACTGATGCGTTTAATTTATATGTAATAGATGAATCATCTCCTGATCCTTATAATAAGCTTATAATAGAAAATAATGCTATTTTAGTATCAATTGGGTTAAATATTAATTATTCTGATCCTGGATTATTAGCTTCTATGACATCGAGTAGAAAAATGTTAGTTAAAGGAATTGCAGAAAATCCAGGAGGAAAATATTCAAATTTAATTGGGAATGTAATATCTATTGATCGGAGAGAAGCAGAAATAATATTAAAAAAGATTTTTAAAAATATTATTAATTATGAAATAAAGAGAGTTACAGATCAACTAAATCAATATCATATTCCAACTACGATTATACTTAATCTCATTAATAATTTGTTTGATACATTTGAATTTGATCTTAACTCTCAAACAACTCAAATATATGTTCAAATGAAAAATAGAAATAAAGCATATTTTGATGGTGATAAATTAATGAAAAAAATTATTGTCGAAACAACTGATGAAATTGCAAAAATACTTGGCCTTAAATCTTCAATAACCATAACCGCACCTTTATCTATTGTTGTTTCAGTCTTTAATTATTTGATGTATTTATTAAAAGAAATTTTTAATTTTATTGTAATTGTATTTGCTTTTATGGGAGGGTTGTTGATTTATAGTTTATTGATTGCTGATGTAGAAAGTAAGACATATGAATTTGGAATGTTACGTGCATTAGGATTATTAAAATCTTTATTAATCGAAATTCTTGTAGTAGAATCTACAACATTTTCAGTCATTGGAGTTGTTATTGGATTAATTTTTGGATATTCATTATCATTAATAGTCAATTTCTTGATTACTAATCTTGCTGATTTACCAATGATTTATACCCCATCATGGAAATCAATTGTAATACCACTATTGATTGGTTTTATTATTCCACTTATATCCAATATTATTCCAATTAAAAAAGCTCTTTCCAAGACATTAAGAAATAGTTTAGATCTTTATCATTCTACTATTAATGAAGTTAATGTAACAATAAAAAAAATAAAATCAATTGGAATACATCCATCATTAATAATTATATCATTGGTTATGATAGCGGCAAGTTTTATTACATACTATATCATTCCAATGTCATTATTACAAATGAAATTAGATATTTTATTTATTTGTTTCTTATTAATACTTCTTTCATTTCTTGCAGGACTTTGTCTTCTTAGTCAAATAATACAACCATTTATTCAGAAATTTATTACTTATATTATTATTACACCATTTCAAAGTGCTATTCAAAGCATTGTACTTAAAAATTTAAATTCTCATTCCCCAAGAAATAAAAAAACTGCTTTAATGCTAACAGTTGTAATTAGTTTTATTTTATTTGCAGGTGCAGTATTTTCATTGTCAGAAAACACTATTATTAATGAAGTAAAATTAAATTCTGGAGCAGATATTAGAGTTAAAACATCAAATAGTTTAAATGTGACTCAATTAGCCAATTATTTAAAAAATGAACCTAAAGTTATTGATTACTCATTTGAAACATCTCCTATCTCTGATATTGCTGGTAAAAAGTCATCGACATACATAAGCAATTTAGCAATGCACCCAATGGAATCTGTAAAATATATTGCAGTAGATGAACATTTTGTCAATACAGTTTATAACGAATTATTAACTCCAGTAAAGGTTGATTCAATAGTAAAATACAATAAAGTCAATGGCCATCCAGATGTATTAACTTCTTTATATGATTCTCCTAGAGTAAGGACAAGTGACCTACCTCAGTGCTTTCCATTAAATAAAAATATTATTAATAAACAAAAAATCCCTGACACATCTTATTTCTATAACAATTACACTGACGTTATTATTGCTGAAGGTATTAGAGAAGAAGACAGTATTCATGTAGCTGATAATGTTCGTATTAAAATAGTTTCAAATTCACATTCATTGTTTTATCTTGGAAAAGTTCGTGCAACAATAAAATCAATGCCAGGTCAAAGATTTTCATCTTTTTATACAGTCGCTTCAAAATCACCTATCATTATAAGTATTCCCCAAATGAAAGAAATATTACAAACACAACAAACTATATTCAATACATCTTCTGATATTACTTACCATATTCTTTACATTAAAGTACAACCTGGAAGTAGTGAATATGTAACACAAAATATAAGAACATTAGTATATGATATTAAAGCTGTTGTAACAGATACATCTTCGAGTGTAGAATCTATTCGGTCTTCTATTGGAATTCTTCAAATATTCTTTATAATTGTTTCTTTAGTTGCATTGTTATTGTGTTTCTTTGTAATGTTATTATCATTTACTTCAAATGTTCATGAAAATTCTTGGGAATTTGCAGTTTTAAGAGCACTTGGACTTAGTTCAATCAAAATGGTGTTGATTTATATTTATGAAGCACTTTGTATTACTTTTTCGTCTATTATTTTAGGTTCATTAATAGGAATTGGTGTTGCTTCGTTAGTAAATCTACAATTTATTCTTTTCCTTCAATTACCTTATACTTTCTCTTTCCCATGGCTTAATGCAGTAATTGTTTATTTTATCTCAATTGTTGTTTCTGTCTCTTCTTCATTTATACCTTCTTGGAATTTAACTCGAAAACCAATCTCTAATATTTTAAAAGGTCAACTTTAATATTTAATTTATTCCTTTTTAGTTCTATTTCTTTTAAAACGTCAAAGATTCTGCTTCAGGTTTCTTAGTATAAACTATATTTTAATAATAAAAATAATAATAATATAATTATATCAAAAAGTATAACTAAAAAAGAAACCAATAAATTATTATGTCATTTTCAAGTGTTAAGGTTCATTATTGCCGATATATGCAAGACTGGGATAAACTTAGTGAACGAATTTGTAAAAGTAGTTATGTTGGATTTGACGTTGAGTATGTTGATAAAACTCCTGCTACAATTCAACTTTCATCACCAACTGAAGCATTTGTTTTACACGTATTTCACTACAAAGAATTACCAAAGACATTAATCCAATTATTAGAAAATGATGGAATCATTAAAATCGGAGTTGGAGTTAAAGACGACTTAAAAAAAATTGATGATAAATATAAAACACATTGTCAAGGTGGACTTGATATCGGATGGACTGCTTATTTAATTGGAGCTATATCAGAGTATAGAGGTATTGATTATTTAGGAGAGAAATTACTTGGAGAAAAGAAATTAGGGGGATTTGCAACTTGGGGAATAGGTAGGTTAGAAAAGAAACAAATTGACTATGCTGCTAAAGATGCGTGGATTGGTGTTTGTGTTGCTGAAAAGATTATAATGAAAGTTTAACCAATAAAGAAAAGAAGAGATGTAATATCACTGACTGGGTAAAGGATATGGCAGCATCAAAGATAGATGTACTTGATTATTGTGATGATGAAGATAAAGGGGTTATAACAAACACTGTTGTTAATGAAAATGATGTGCAAGGAGAATTAAGAAGTATAAGAAAAACTAAGGAATACCTAAACCAATTAAGAAAAGAAGAAAAGGTTCAATTAAAACAATTAGAAAAAGTAAGTGAAGAGAAAAAACCAAAGAAAGTTGATAATAAAAAGGATACCAAGAAAGAAAAAGATGAGTTAGTTCTTAATATCTTTTTTGATGATGAATAAATTATTTTCGTGATTGAGCTATATCAAATTTTTCTATTTTATGTTTTATCCAAATGAAAAGACAAATGTTCTTTAATGATAAACGCACTCTTATTAAGAAAAAATAGTTAATAAAAAATGAGTTTGTTCAAAAGAAATGGAGGTTTTGATCAGATCAATAAAGGAGTTGAATTAAAGAAAGTTTCTATAATAGGAGATGTTGGAGTTGGTAAAACAGCAATTGTTCGCCAATTTATCAATTATAAATTTGAAGAAATTTATGAACCAACAATTGGAGCTAATTATTCAAGTAAAGTTGTGTATGATAACAACAAATATACTCGTTTGCAAATATGGGATTGTGCAGGAAAAGAAATGTATAAATCCCTGATTGATAGTTATTTGGAAAATAGTGACATTATCGTTATAGTTTTTGATGACCTATTTTCATTTCAACATAGTAAAGAACGTCTTAATAAATTAGGAATTAATTCATCATATTGTCAAATAATTTTTGTACTTAATCAAGTTGATAAATTTCTTGATAAGTTTGTTATTTTAAGTATAAGTATAACCATAAATTTATAAAGTAGAGAATTATCTCATAAGGCTCGTCAATTTACAACTAAAAAAGGGATTCCATTTTTTGAAACAAGTGCACTCCAACGTAAAGGAATCGATGAGCTATTTAATTCGATTCTTTCTGGAAAGTATGGGTCTTTAGAACATATTCCATGTTCTTCAAAACTTCAGAAAAATTTGAATAATGAAGAGTTAGTAGTACTTCCGAAAGATTCTTATGGGTGCTCCTGTTTAAAGATCGGCTTTTGTTAAAAAAGACTAGAGATAGTTTACTAGAAACAAAGAGGTGTCTGTTGATTTTTTTGTTAAATTCTAAGTGAGTTAATTTCGTTTGTTGTGGTATGTTTATTAATCGATCTTTTTTATTTTTTTTCTTCTTTAAAACCAGAAAATTATTTAGTATTTCTTAGATGACTGAACAACCAGTTCAAGTAGAACTTTGTTCAAGAGACTATTTAGACACACCTCTCTCATTCTCTCAACCTCAAGACCCTGAAATAAATAATTTACAACATGTACAAGAAGAAATATCACCTGAAATTCTTCAAAAAAACCAAGAGGTGGTTCAAGAAATTGAAGAAACTTCCAAACAACTTGACCAACCAATTCAAAACGAAACATTCCCAAGAACCAGTTTTGGCTCACTTCCACAATTATCTTTATTTGATTTAAGGAGGTATTTCACAACATACCCAGTAACTTCAATAACTGGATTGAATCTATCAAATAATAGAATGGCAAATCTATCTCTACCAAATCTAATCTCATTAAAAGAGTTAAATCTTTCTCATAACGTTTTTAAAAAAGTACCAACAATATTATCTATCTTTACTCAACTAACACGTCTAGACATATCATATAATTATATTAAATCACTTGGTATCCTAAAAACTCATCAATCAATACGTTTGTTATTGTTAGAAAGCTTCTTTAGATTTAATATACTAATAATAAGGATATCTTGATATTCATCACAACAATATTCATAAGTTAACATTTGATCATTATGAAACAGCATCTAATTTGATTCATTTTGACATCTCTGATAATTATATTGCTTCTCCATTAGATACCTCGGAAACATTTTATTATACATTCCCTTCTATATATTTTCAACGAAACCCAACATTTATTATATGGGGATTATATCTTGGTTCAGTAAACTCAACTTATGATATTGAATATATTAAGGGATTAGGAATTGGTTGTGTTCTCTCAGTAGGTAAAAAACCAATTCATGAACTTGATGGATGTAATTTGTTCATAACCCTTGAAGACAGTCCTAAAGAAAATATCATGGAAATCCTTCAAACAGCACTTCTTTTTATTGACGAAAATATTAAAAGAAAAAGGGTTGTATTAGTTCATTGTGAGTGTGGGGTAAGTCGAAGTGCTAGTATTGTAATAGCCTATATGATGAAAAAATATGATATGACCTATAAAGATGCACTAAACTTTGTATCTTCTAAACGTAAGTGTGTTTTTCCTAATCGTGGGTTTGAACAACAATTACTTCAATTTGAAAAAACTACTTTCACATTTGGTTTAGAAGAAAAAGAGAAGAAAACAAAGAGGAAATGGCTCAACTAGTATAAAACAAGAGGATTTGTTATAAATACATTCAATGAAAATATAACATTAAGAATATTGAAAAACAAAAATTTTGGGGTTTTCTTTTATAAAAAAAATCAAAATTTTTTGGATAAAACTTTAAATTTTACACAACTTTAAAGGAATGAGTAAACTTGAAGGAAATCCATTGCAATATGTTGTAGATACTACTACTTCTCTTCAGGCTTTAATGAGAATTGTTAGACAAAAAACTGAACGAAAAGACGCTGATATAGAGCGATTAGAAAAAGAAGCACGAAGAGACATTATTGAAGGAATTCAAGCGATGGAAGTATTAGTTGAACAAATTCAAAATTTATCAAAACAATCAGTCGATGAACAGCAACAAGAAATGGATGTGTTAATAGGAGAAAATATAATCCTTCAAAAGAAAATTGAAACAAGTAAGAAAGAGATTGAGCTACTACAAAAAGAAGTAAGAAATTACCAAGAAGAAAAAACACATAATAATGAAGAGTATGAAAAAAAGATTGAAGACTTAGAAGAAAGGATAAAAGAAAAAAATATTGAAATTAATGATCTACAAAATGAAATATTTAGTGTCTTACAAAAACACTCATCTGTATTAAGTACTAATGAAGATAATGATACAAATATTATGATATTAAAAGTTCAACTAAAAAAAAAGGAAAATGAAATTGAAGAATGTTCAAAGCAAATAGATAAATTAAAAAGTGAAAATGAAAAACTTAAAACAGATGCTGAGGTTAACTCACAAACAAATGATGTTATGTGGATGACTATTATGAAAGGGAGAAATGAAAATAATTCATTAAAAAATAAAATTGATGAATTATTAAAAGGGGTAGTTGGAAGTTCTGAGACAGATATTTTTGAAGGGTTTGTACAACGTGGAGAATTAGATCAAATTAAAAGATGGACAGAAATGAAATCATTTAAAAAAATTTGTAATATTGAAGGGGACGGTGATCAAAATAGTTGGAGTTGTGTTAAAGGATTAAAGAATGTACTTTGTATCAAAGTAACTCAAATAGGAAGTGTGTTTGGTTATTTTCATAGTAAAGAACATCCAGCAGTAACAACATGGAATATTCCACAAACAACAGATATTGTGTTCTCTTTAAGGAATCTCTTTAATCGTCCACCAATAATTATTAAACAAAATATTCAAAATAAATTAGTTGAAAATAAACCTGCAGATGTTTGTGTTCCAATAATTACCGAAGAAATAGACTCTCCATGTCTTTGTTCATTAATTTTTGTTGGTGAGAAATAAAAAATTGAAAGAGTTTATTAATAAGAACTGTTTATCATTTTGAGTTTAAAAAAAATAAAAAAAGAAAAAGATATAAAAAATTATTAATTAATAATTTTATTATTATAAAATATAGAAAAAAAATAAGAACTTAAAATTAATAAAACATAAAAAAAATTATGTTCAATCCATTTGAAATTGTTAATGGACAATATAAAGGAAATTGTTCTAAGGAATTTGTTACCTTAACACTTAACTCTATTCCTAATACCAGAGAACAATTAAACGATTTAGGACTTCCATTTGCAATTTGTTGTCATCCAATGAATTCTACATCTCAGCCACCAAAAGTCTCTTTTCCAAATGGTTCAATTAATAGGTGTGAATATTGTAGGGCATTTATCAACCCATTTGTAGAATGGCAAGTCCCTGGAACAAGATTTGTTTGTAATTTATGTGGGCATGTTAATTATTTAAATAAATCACCATACCAATTATATAATATTAATCAATATCCTGAACTTGTAAATGGTTGTGTTGATTTCATTGTACCAGAGGGATTTATGCCACGAATGATTGATGGTATTAATATTGTATTATTAATTGATTTAAATTGTCCCGTATTAGAGTATGTTATTAACTGTATTGAATCACTTGAACATAATGCACGTGTAGCAGTAATTGCGTATGATGACACAATTCATTTATTTAAAGCAACTCCAACAAATATATGTGAAAATATTATCATGCCATCAATGGAAGTAGATATTTGTGAATCAACTTCTATTTTTATGGAGAAATCTAAACTAAATCAAGTCCTTGAATTAGTCAAAAAAATTGTTCCAAATAATAAAAATTGCTTACTTGAAGCTCTTACTATTGCTGGTTCATTATTAAAGAAAATTGGAGGTAAAATTATTGTTATTAATAGTACACCAGTCACATCAGGTAAAGGTATTTATCAACTAAGAAATCCAATAGTTGAAAAGAGGTCAAATGATAATTATAAAAAGGTTGCTATTGAATTAAATAATGATGGTATCACTGTGGACCTTCACTTAGTAGCATCTTCTTATCTTGACCTTTCTCAATTCGTCGATATTTCATCAAAAACAGGAGGAAATACTACCTATAACACTTTAAATACTCTTAACGATGGTACTTTCTTTACTTCACTTTATCAATCATTCTGTGATATTACTGGATTTGATGGAAGTTTCAGAGTCCGATGTTCACCACAGCTGAGAGTAGTTAGTAGATATGGTCATTTTATAATGAAAATATCTGATATCATTTCATCTCCTGTTTCTTCATCTAAAACTGCATTAACAATTCGTTTAACTATAGACACTCCAATAGTAGCTCCAAATATATTCATCCAATCATCTTATCTTTACACTGCGCCAGATAATACTAGATATATTAGAGTCTGTACTATTGCTATCCCAGTTGTTAGTCAACTTCATCAATGTCTTCCAATAGATTTTAGTCCAGTTTGTGGTTTCATGGGAATGATTCTTATGGACCAACGACCAGAGCTCAAAATCATTGATCTTCAGAATTCTCTTATCAACCAAATGGCTAAAGTTTATAAACTATTTTCAACAACGTCTCAAAAAGTTCAGTTGTACTCTTCTATGGTACCACAAAATCTTGTTCCATTTACTCTTTATTGCTGTTCAATATTAGTTATGCTTAATATCCCTCCTTCTGATTATTCAGTTTGTCTCAGAGAAAAAATATTAGGAATGAAAATTAATTCATTCCAACAAATGTTTTTCCCTATTTTGTATGATGCCCATTCCCTTCAACAAATACCCACTGATACCTCTAGTACTGACAATTTAATTTTAGCTTATAATGGAGAGCATTGGATTCTTTCTGTTGGAAACAAGGTAGAGGATCAAGATATTCTTGCTCTTGTAGAACAACAACCAGTCTGCGTAATTACTCATTCAGAAGGTATTTTTTCTTCCTTAAGAACTCTTGTTGGTAATGCCCCAATCATAGTTTGCAAACAAGGAAGTGAAATGGCTAATAGTTATTTGAATAATTATTTGTTTAGTCCATTCCAACTTGATAGTCTTGTTCAATCAATTAACAATAAAATGATTTCTAAATGACCTGCTTAATTATTCATTTTTATTTCAATCTCACAAGTCTTTTATTTGGTTGTTTATCAACTTCTAGTTTCTTTATTCATTTTTATGTTGTGTGTTGCATATCATGATTGAGTTGTTCTAATGTTTTAGTTTCTGGTTTTATCTTAATTATCAATTTTCTTATTTACAAGTTTCTTCTTATTTCTTTTTATCATTTTTCTAATACCTTCTTTGAAAAGTCCAATATATATGTAGACTGATATGTATTTAAAAGTTTATTTATTTTAGTATTTTATTTTATGAGACTTATGTATTTGTTTATTAAAATATATAATCATAGTATTTTTCAAATAATTTGATATCCGTTTTGTGTATTATATGAATTTTCATCATTTCATTATTATTAAAATAACTTTTATTAACTTTTTTAGGTTATGAATAAGAGTATTTTATTATGTCTTACAAATTATTGTTTTAGGGTGTAACATCTTTCTTTCAATGATTTCATTTAAATTATCGTATTTATCTTCTTTAGTTATCCCATTATCTAATCATTCTTATACCTTTCTTAAATTTGATTCTCTCAAAATCTTTATTTTTCTATTAAATTCTTTTTATTATATTTTTGTTTATATTTTGTTTAACAAGGGTGTATTCAACTTAGTGCTCTGTTTGTATTTATTCTAATATTCTTACTTTTCTTTCTTTTAGTCATTATAATTAATATGACTGAACTTCTTTTGTGTTGTTTCTTTCTTCTTTTCATTTTTTTTATTTTTCTTTCTTTTTTATTTATTCTATGAAATTTCATTTTGTGGATTGGTACTTCAGATACACCACATACAATCCCATTATATCTATACTTTGAACCAATAGTTATGTTCTGTTCATGATATGGCTTTAGTGAGATAACTCACCACCTAAGACCAATTGGTTATTATTTATTATAGAGGCATTACTTATAAGGACTATTTTTTATTATGACGGAATATTATTTACTATGATACAAGATTATTTATTTGTTATGGTAGTAGTATTATTATTTATCAACATATAAGTACATTTATCAATGATAGATTTGTGTTGAATGCGTGGTATGTTGTTAAGAAAAAGGGATTTTTTTAAGTAGTATCGATGGTAAAGGAGATGATCCATAGCATAGTGTTATTGATGTATTCTTCTTATAATAACACTACAAAAACAATAGAGAGTTTTAATACTCATTTATTCAAAGTAAAAATCATATAACAACTTAAATGAGGAACAACTAAGTCGATCATGTTTGAAAAAACTTTATTTCAAATGAAATAAAGTGTGTTGAAGAAACTAACACTCTCACT